ATCATTCCACTCAGGTACTTCGACTCTCTCTCTCAGCTTCAACTCTATGGGCTGGGAACTAGACGTGCCTGAGCGGACGTCATGTCCCGGAGTCTGGGAGGCGAAGTTGGCAACCCGGCGGAGGAGGTCGACAAGGGCGATAGTTGGATCTTGTTCCCCTCCATCCGCGGCTGCTTTCGTTCCTCCCTGCTGGTCCACATCGGGGAGGTTCAACGAACCTCGTCCTTCCCCCCCGTTGTCTTCCCCGTGGGGAGAGGAACTAGTCCCTGGTCCCCGCGGAGGTCTTCGTCCATCTCCTCCAGCCGTCTTATTCGCGCAGACACAGCAGCCACTTTCTTGATCTATTACGCTAGCGTGTTGGGTGGCTTGGTGCGCCCGGCGCAGTTGTAGACGGCAAAAATAAAAGAACCGCGCGGCGAGTTTGCCGGCAACGATAAAATACAGTAAACTGCCCACGGGTGTGGTAACCCGCCGCATCTATGATGTTCCGGAGCGTGATAGCTCTGATGTGTTGACGCTGGTGCTGTGATAGCTGTTGTGATGGCGTGATAGCCTAGAGGCGTGAAAGCCTGGCAGCGTGATAGATGGTGGATAGGTAGTATGGGCACGGGCGTGATAGCCCAGGGCGTGATAGCCGGGAAAAAGGAAGATGAATAAATCAAGGGCACGTGGCCAACACCGTTGCTGACACGCATACCCAGAAAACAATAATATGTGGCAAAGATGGTACCACCATTCCCCCAATTTATTACAACTGCGGAACCCCCAAAATCCCCCGCTCCATCTTCTAGGAACATTCCTCGGTTGCAATAATCTGTCAATGCTGTGAGTACATCCAACAGAGGCAACGATTTATGGTCATCATGGTGGATGATAAGGTGGGGATGGGGGGAGCGAGAGGGAGTCTGAAGGTGGAGGTTGGGGGAAGGGGGGGGGTATGGTGAAGGGATGGAAGCAATCGGGGGTAGGGCGCAGACGCATGGGAACGGGGAAAAGCAGGCTGTTAAGGTGGGGTATAACGAGATGAGGTGTGACAGCCTGCCTAGCTAGGTTTACGTCTGTCTGTGTGTGGTGTATGTATGAGGAACTCGGGCAAGATTTGGCGTGGGGTAAGCCCGGGTGGCGTGATGAAATCGGGGGGGGTCCACGACTCAAAAATAATAATAATAACTCCATATTCATGAGCATAACAAACAATATCAATGTGACACATACATACTTACATCCAGCATCACGGATGGAGGATTCAATATTATTATTAATGCTTCGTATTTTTCGTACCAACAAACAACAAGCTCTACTTCTACAAGTAGTATTTTTCGCCGCCTTTTGCAGGCACAGGCAGGCCCTCGTTTCGAAGAGGCATAGACTGTGTTGCCTGACGTTGGGTTGAAGTACGAGACGCGTTCTGATTGGTCGGGCGTTGTTAGGCGTTGGTTCTGGCGGCCGATTCCTCTTCAGCGCCCTCTCCCCGTTCCGCATTCCGAGTACGCGGCGGGAGCCGCGTGCTAGTTCGCGGCCGCACGGCGGGAGCAACCTCGCCTTGCTCGCGTGAAGAACCTAGCCTTGCTACGTTCAACATCGGTTAGTCCTAAAGAGTTACTATCAAAGTGTAACCAAGGCTCCCCCTGCGGCCCGACATTGCGCACTGCACCTACCTTACCTGTAGAAGAATTGGTCCAACAATAGATAGATAGACGAATAGGTGGTATGTTGTAGGCCGCGAACATCGAGCATCATGCATAAAATATGCAGATGAAGTGGTGGTGAGTGTTTGCTTCTTCGCAAACAGCACCAATTTTTTTAGCAAAGAACGGGCAAAATGGTCTCATCAACAAGCACCGTCTACTATTGTACAGTGAGTGGTAGTGCAGAGTATGAGCTGGACTAAAAGCCTTTTGTCACGGTAGCATGAACGTGCGCTAAATACTAAGATTCATTCCATCTCGCGATGGTTTGAGGAGGGCTAGGGTACACCTTCGGGTATATATATCTGAATCAGTGACGGGACCCCCTCTAGGGTCTCGCTCATCACGTGTTTACTTAACACGGCCAATCTGGAAGGCAGAGACTTTGACCCCGCTACGAGAGCTAACAACCTGTGAGTCGATGTACGGTTAGACCCACCTTGATAAGTCCCCCTTGCTAGCCCCCCCCTTGCTAGTCCCACCTGGATTAGTCCCCCTTTGAGCTGGTATCAAGGCGAAACCCGCCTTGATTAGACCCCCCTTGCTAGACCCCCCCCTCTTGACTCAAATGGTCACTATGACATCCTGAAATCAACCCATGAACTGAACCAAAC